CCCGTGCAAAGATACGGTCCGCATTTCTTCGCGTTATCTTCGCATTCCTTCTGCCTCGAATTCTCGATTTTAGCACCGTTATTTCTTCGCCCTTTTCGCACAACTTGCGTCTCGAGGGACGTTTGAACCGGAAACTTTAGCGAGGCTAGAGATTTCGGATAACAGAGCGGTGTCTCTTCTTCGTATCTTCTCTTGATTCTTCTTAACCTCTTCAAGATCTGATCTTCAGTTGTAACATTTGGATCTGTACTTTCGTCGCCAAACTTATCTTCCTCGATAGCATCTGTTTGTTCCTTCGTTTCCTTGCATTCCTCGTCGTTCAATTTCCATGCACCACCACCGTGAAGTCTAGCAATAAGATCCACCGCCAACATGGCGGCATGCCACATAGGATGTCTATCAATTTTCGCGGCAGCCACCGCCAGGATTCTTCCATCCTCGGGATCGACGATCGCTGTGGCGCCGGTACAGCGCTCATCGCCGACCGCCTCCAACCTGGCAACCTTTATTACCAATGACATGATTCGCTCGATTGCGTACAAACAATCGTCATTGAAGATCGAGCCGTCGATTAGGCTCTCAACTGTCTGGTCAGGATGGAAATTTACCGGCCAGATTTTCGAAGCTTCGCTGGCCTGTATCTTCGTCCTTGGCGCCTTGGCTGGCACCTTCGTCATCTGGAATTTCTCTTCCAGCAAAGAGAGATCGAATCCTCTCTCTTTCAACTGAGTTTTAAGTTGATTTTCACCGAGAGAAATATCGTGGCCTTTCTCACGTGATAATTCGTCCGAATGAAGCGGAGCCAGAAGCAACTTCCCGTTGGAACAGCGCTTTAGATGAGCGAATCCCGGCAAAATAGTCGATATACTTTTAATTGCAGTGGAGGTGTCCTTCCGTTGTTTCAAAACGCCCACATAGACCTCTTGCAGCGGAGGAGCTTCCGTGAAATCCGAGCTTAGAATTGGTTTCGCCGTCCAGCTTCTAGTTGCAGTCTCCATCTTGCGTGCCTTGACATTTTTTGGCGACGTCATCTTCCACCCTGAAAAGACGCTGCCTTCACTTATCATTAGAAGATTTCTCGGTGATATTTGCGATACACCGTTCTGTTGAACATTGTCACATTGGAAAGAGTTTATCGTTATCTCTTTATCTCATGAAAATTATTTTTTTACCGTTATATATATTTCTGAGATTATTTCTTTACACGATGTTAATGTTCCTACATTCAGTATTCAACACAATTATTCATCTTTAAAGTTATATTTTTCTAATTTAAGTGTACACTGAAAAAAATTTCTGGTTGAAAATGGACGAATCAGAAATTTCTGATTAAATTTATTAGAATTCTAATTGAGATAACCGGAATTCTGGTTGATACAATATTTCTGGTAAAATCTACTAGAATTTTTATTTTTACCAGAATAATTATATTTTAATTAGAATTTTAATTATTTCAACTAGAATTCTAATAGACTTAACCAGAAAATTCTAATCATCCACCAGAATTACTATTTAATCCAACCAGACCATTTTTCTCAGTGTAGTATTATAAGTATAGAAAAAGACGAAATATATTATGTATATATACATATACAAGAAATATATGTATATATAAAATTCTCTTTGGATTCTATATATATTTAGAACTTTCCAAACGTAGATATAAAAACGAATAATATAAAAAGACATGCAAATTTGTAAAATGTGACGAAAACAAGATCCACAATCAACATGGAAATACTTCGAAATATCAAACGATTACAAGGCCTTAAGGATATTTTCGCACGTAACGATCGTAAATGTCGGTGAGATTTCGGCGAAAGTAGAAAAGAACGGAGTTGGTCCTTGATCCGGATGGCGCCGGATGGATCTTAATTGTAATCGGAATTACCCTACGGGACATCTTCTTACGAAGGAGCAGAAGCGATTTTAAATTGCTGTCAACTTGGGCCACGGTCGGATCGATTGTCAGAGTTAGGCGCAATTGTATGACATCGCTGTCTGCATGAAGAATAAGCGAGACATTGCATTAAAAAGTCCGAAGTTCGAGCCAAAGTTTCCTTTAATTTCAACTGTGCGTAAACATATACTGAACGTATGGTCGTTAACGTCTAATCGCAAGAGATAGCATTGCCATTTATTACGTCATAATAATGAAACGCGTGTTCGTCAACAAAACTGTCTAATTTTAACATAAATATTTTGTTTAAAGTTCCAACAAATGTATTTTTCAAATGCGTGAAATGCATGAGATACGGTTGGGAAACGTAAATATTCTTAAATAAATATCAAGAATGCGTATTTATGAAGAATGACTCGAGATTTTTACTGAAGAAGAAATAATATAAAATACATAAATTAATAGGCGAGCCATGATAGCCTATTAATTTATATTATTTTTTCTTCCTCACCACGTAAACAAATTCCTACGTAAATATCTTTTAGTTGTGTAACATATTATATTCCCATGTACAGTTTGCAGAGTTGCAGTTGAAAGTCGGTATGCGTCGCGTCACGCGATTGATAAATAATTGGCACTCGGTAAATTTTTACGCAAAATCTCGATTTTCACAGAAAACTGTGCACGCACGACTGGCACATATAGCTGCTACTCTGCTGAAGACCTACTTTGCACGATATATCAGCCATCTGATAGCAGATATCGTGATACCGTAATAATACGCATCTTCCGTATCCAAGTTAAAAAATTGTAAAACTTTCTACCGTTGGAAATCCGAGAAACGTTGCACAGTTGGAAGAATTCACTATGCAATTTTATTGTTTAGATTCATATCTTAATTAGCTTAATAGTCTATCAATGAAGCGAATTATCATGCCGCCGTCATTTGTAATGCAAAAGAAGATTAAATTACAGATAATATAGTGTACATTTTTTTTTTTCGAGATGATGCTTTTCGTTTTTTATATGCTAAAAAATACCCGAATTCGATTTATCTTCTGTGGTTTTAATAAATTTTCATGGTGGTTTTCAATATCGTATTATACACTTAAATTTATAATGTCAAATTATATTTAATTTGACATCATAAACTAATTTGAGTTATTTTTAATCGTTTCTGTAAGTCACTACTTCTACTCAATATGTCATTAATTTAACTAAAAGAATGGAGTGAAACAATTTAATTCTACAAATGTATTACATTTGATTAACATTTGGTTTATCATTTACTAAATGCATACATTAATATAAATATTATTTACTTTAAAAATAAGCAATTCGATCAAAGAAAGAATTGATTTACATTTTGACGTTGAAATTAAAAATAAAATGTTATTTAATTCAAGGGATTAAGTTACCATTGCTCCTTTGATATCTAACAGTGTATGTCGCAAAAAATAATTATTATCGATTTATAATCTAATCTATTCCATACAAAATAATTGTTATTCAAAAAATAATTGTTATCGGTTTATAATCTAATCTATGCTTGTAAAAGTTTTTTTATTAGGATGTGTCTTTTGCAATCATCGTCGCAATGTGTTGATTTGTCACTATGTCGTTTAAATCTCAAAGAATAAAATACAGATAAAAACAACGATGAGAATTCATGAGAAAATCAACACAATTCATTGGCGATACATTGGTTAATCATTGACATGTATCGGAGATATACTGGGTCAATATTGCATCAATAAATTGTGTTATTAGAGTGCGGAAAGGATTATTTGTCCAATGGACAAATAAGAATCACGCTTTGTAAAACCAAGCGTATAAAACAATAATCTTAAAAGATTATTGTTCGACATTGTGATTGACAAGTAATCGATACAATGTTCGTTTCTCCTTAATTATAATACAGATAATTGAATTAAACGCAACTTAATCGACTTCAGTTTTCCCTGAAGAGAAAACCCATAGATTATTTTTAACAAACTGTCTGTCCTTTTCCATATAATATTTCAAATCGAGCAATAGATTATGAGAATTTTGTAAACGTAGCGCATTCGAATTCCGGCACGAGTCGCACCGCTCGTTTAAGATGGCGGCTAAGATTGCACATTTACAGAGCGTGATCCTTACATAACAGAAAAGCGAGCGGAGTAAACGGAATCCACTCGATATGTCTTGGAGTACCGCCTTGAGAGTCGCGACGCGGTTACGCGCGGCATAAAAATTTCCGGGAAAAATCTAGCTTAAATTTTCTCTTTATTTTGTAATTTCGTTTCCTAGGACAAGGTCGCTCATCGGGACTCGTTCAAACGCGAGCGGGAAATCTCGCATTGCAGCGATTTCGAGCAATCGAGTTCGAGCGGCAAACATGTCCTCCGCATGGCCTTGGGTTGCGACATGTCGATCGTTAAGCTTGGCTGACGCTAACTGTCAACGGTTGCGACGCCTAGAACGGAACTGCAACGATGCGGAACGACGGCCCGTCGCATCCGCGACGCGCCGTCGCGACGCCACGTGTTCGCCATGCGCACGCACGCACGCATTTTATTCGAAGAATTCTTACCTGCTGCTCCACGACGGTGCGGCTACGGCCGCATAAAATACGCCCTAGTTTCCTCTCGATATTTCCCCGGCCTTTGACGGCCAAATGTTCACACCGGAAATCGTATTCCTTGAGCGCGGCAAATTTGTGCTACCAACAGTAACCGGAAACGCGTAGAAACACACGTGAGAATTGCGCGCCGGAGATACCTCGTATGCGTCGTCGCGACGGCTCGCGTCTCTTTGTGGTATGTAGCATGAGCTGTTTATCAGCGAGGTACACGATGGCGGCGCCTTCTGCCGGTGAGATGAAAGACTTTGCGAGAGGCAGGGATATTCGCAGCTTCGGTCACCAGTCGTTAGGCCCGTGAAATTTTTACTTTTCTTGCGGCGAAATCTGTGAGTCGGTCATGGTCGCCGAAATCGGATTCCAAACAAGAGCTAGCTTTCTTCAAACGATCAAATTATAATTATTCAATATCACGGAATTTATGAGCAACATTCTAGCACGTGGTTTTTAAGGGAGATAGAATTACAATTTATGTTGTTCCTTTTCTTACTGATGAGCTAATTTCTTAGAAAGTTTTGAATCACTAATCGATAAGAGAATGTTAATTTTTAAAAATTTGATTTTTGTATCTATTACATAAGAAACTTTTATTACATTTACATTATTTTATAAAAGATTTTATCCAGTTACTAAAAATTTAGAATTAATATAAGAATAGAAGAAGAAAATAATTTGCTCGAGTAAAAATATATATTATATTATTATTATTATTTTGTATTATCTTAAATATTGTAAATTTTGAACGAGCTAAAAATCGTATCTAAGATTCTTTTGTTACTACGTTTTATCGCGAGTTAAATAAAAGGCTCATTTTTGATTGTTCATAATTTCATTTAAAAATATTATCGCAATTAACAAAACAGATTCTTAAATCTGAAACTTTGCCTATAGAGTCGTTTCCTCCTCGGTCGTATAATTTCTCGTAGCCAAGCGTGGTGACTTCTCTCATATGTGTGTACGCTGGTTTTAAACAGTCATATGGAATCTACAGTTTAATTATGATCGACGAAATTTTAGAGAAGTGCTCTTGGCAAAGGTACTCTCGGTGGGTTGCTATTTCCTTCTGAGAGGAGACACGAGTCTATGGAAATATCTTGGATATATCGGGAATTAAATTCGGGATCTCTATCACAGCAAACCAGTGCATGCACTGTCTGTTTAGCTACACTCACTCTAATAATGAAGTCGTATAAAAAAAAAATATTACCAAATTTTTTTTAAAAACGTGTTGAGTATTGACATGATACAAATGAAATAGCGCTAGACACTTTTGTTTCGATCTATATCTTCCCGGGAAAAAAATGTTATAGATATGAACATATTTTATCTATAATTATATATAATTGTATATAAAATGTCAATATTACAGGATTGGTAAAAAACATGTTTTAAACATGTTTTAAACAGTTTAAAACATGCTTAATTGATATTTTTAATATGTTTTAAACATGTTTTTCTATAACACTGTTTAAAGCATATTTGAACCATTAAAAACATATTTAAGAAGAAACTCTTTGCCAACCAATCAAGCAGTGAACGTTTTAAATAAATTTAAGTATACATTGTACATTTATTCATTTACATTAATTTAGAATTTTTAAGTGGACCCAGTAGGTTTCTCAAATTAATTTTGAATTTCTTAATATAGGAGTTGTATACAACTCCTTCTTGTGCCTTGTCAGGAGCTTCTACAAAGGCACCGTTTTCTCGTTTCCAATAAAAGATTCAATTTTTGGGGAACACGGAATACAAGGTTTTTATTTAGAGCGTAATGGTTTTACAATCAGCTTCAAATGTCGTTCGATATTAAATCAATAATTCCGTCGTCAAAGCTCACTTTCGCACCTAATTTCATAACATACATTGTTTTAAACCGCGGACAAGTTTACGATACTTCTACAACTCCTATATTAAGATAAATCAAATTCTTACCTGCTAACGATATTACTCATAAAAGTTACATCACTTAACATTTCAAATTAATAGTATGCACATTCCCTCATTATCGGATAAAAGATATTATGTATGTCGCGTATCCATAAACACGAAGGTGGTTTACCTTGGTAATATAATAGAAAAACTGAGGAAAGCACAAAGTTGTACTCGCTATTATTCTCCATAATACAATATTTCATATATTTCCAAAAATACAATTGATAAAATGTTTTCTACGTTAACAAAATCTCAAATGTTTAATATACTTAATATCTATCAGTATTTAATACATATGCATATTACAATTGCATTCGACTTTTTATTATTATACAATGTAATGCTGCTTATCTTGATTAAGATCATAACTTATTTTTAATTTACGAAAAATTCGCATAGGTTTCAAAGTACTTCAAATATGTCTCTGCCGCATCGTATAGGTATTCCAGATGTTCCTAAACATTAAATAAAGTTTCTGACTTAAATATATTATTTCAAGTTTCTTATCATTTTTTTTATCGTAAGAATGAAGAATACGATTCTGTATCGATAAAATGTTTACCAACATTTTTTCTTTTTGTTAAAATTATTATATTACCAGGGAATGAACAAAATCTGGTCTTGATCGTCTAACAGCTCGCACTGCTAAAGAAACATCGCATTCTCTTTCGACGGCCATTCGTTCTAGCAGGAAACTCAGTGCTAGATAGAGACCGCATCCAGTTACTCCATCACTGAAAGATTGTTATATATTTTTTAATATTTCACGAAACATTACTTGGAAAAAATATATAATTAATTATAGAATCAAATATATACTTAATTATTTAAAAGAATTTTGAAAAAATATTTAATATTAAATTATTATATAAATTAATATATATAAATTAATAAGAAAAAGATGTAAAGAAAAAACATTTTTTCATTATTGAAGAAAAACACGATAATTTAAATTATAGTATATGACAGTCTTTTTCGGATTTAGAATAGTAATATTATATGTGTATGTATATAGTTTTTACTGGCAAAGTGTGACAGTAGGCCCATCGCCTCTCGCAATTCTCTCCGCAGCTTGCCAAAGGGTCACCATTGTTATAACTGGCGGCGGTGGTTGATCCTTTTTAGGTTTCCACTCCGTCAAACACAGTATAGTAACAAATTGTTCTCTCGAGGGTTTCTACGACAAAATATCATCAAGCTAAATAGGTAATGGCAAATGGAAACTATCGAATTGTCGCATCGAATTGATTTACCTCGGAACTATCAATGAGCAACAATTTTTGTGACGTATAATACTCCAACTCTACGACTTCCTTCATTATGATATTCAAATATGGAACTGGTTTAAACTCGCCGCTTGTAGAAGCAATGGCGCAGCAAGTCTGTAATTTCAAGGATATATAATTGTATTTATAAACACAACAACTGCATTTATATAACTTAATTATTATAATTTTGATATATAATAATATTTGACATATTCTATAAATTATCTCAGTTGATTTCTTTTATTTACCTAATTGCGTATATATTCAAAAATTAAAAAATGAATAAAACAGTTGTTGTAATTATACAATTTACATTTTGTTATACGTTTCTTCTCATAAATATAATTTGTATTAATATGCAGAAAAAGACATACAGGATCTTGAAAATCAGGCGGCTGCAACATTAGAATAAGTTCAACTTTAAACTCAGCAATCATTCTCCAAAAATCATTAATCGTCGATGGCATAGGAATCTGCGAGGCTAAATATTGATTCTGAACTTTTACTCCGTCTACATAAACAGCGGATAAATAATCACTGTCTTCGTCTGATGCTGGGAATCTTTTCAAATATATTCTACTGACCTTATCTACAAAATAAAATACATTTTTTCTAAATATTTTTGATATTTTTCACTATATCAAAAATTTATCGTTAACTACACAAAAAATTAATTTAATTTCTTGGCTTATCATGTAATTAATAAAAATTTGGAATTTGCAAAGCTTATAATTTATAAAATAAAATTCTATGTAATTAGAATATGCAAATAAACCTGAAATCAATTCCGGAAATCTGTTTTTAGATCGATTACACTCCGACAATGGCGGGGGAGACGTAATTTGTCGCAGGGCTTCATCTTGCCATGCCGTATTCTGTAATCTAAAGGCCATGGAATAATTAATTTTTGCAATATCACCTAGCTTAAACAGTTCAAGATTAAACATAAATTAAAATCGAGTTTTTAAGACATACCTTTGCTGTTGAAGCGGCAATTGTTTCTTTAACGCTTTGATTTGTGTCAGTAACATCTCATTACATGGCAATGTGGTTGGAATAGAAAGCAAACATTCCACTAATGCCAAATGCGCTAACAGATATTGCTGTTTATTATCCACCATATTAGCTCTTTCGCTTCTGATGGATGCCGTTTCGGCAAAAACGTCGACTACCTAAACAATTTTATTCAATAAAAATCATTATCTTTCACGTAATTTATGTACTAATCCTAGTAGCGATTTATTAGCGATATATTGATTAAATGTTGAGAATATATTGAGCCAATGTTGGGCCAATATTTGGACAATACTATGCCAATAATTGCGCTACTAAAGTAAATACTGAATGCAGTTAATTACTGCAAATGGCGTTATCGAAGCGATAAACAAGATATTATTACCCCTTCTGCCGCTGCTTGACGGAGACAAATGTCGCACAAAATGATGGTCCCGGTTCTTCCCACGCCAGCACTGCAATGGACTACCATAGGTCCGATTCCAGGTGGTGTTGCCAACAATTTCTTCAAGTACGTGACTACGGAGTGCGTGTACAATGGCACGCCATGGTCTGGCCAAGCCGTGTAATGCAGATGTTCTATCTATGATTGATGCGTATTATTTAATAAAAGTTATTGCGTCTAATATGCGTAAAAAATGTTGGTACCTTACGAGTTTCCTCTCCACAAGTGACATTGAAAGTTCTGAAGCAATAATCAGCGAAGACATTGTGCTTCGCATTTAGCACAATGATGTCGCCGTATTTCTTCTTCTTGCCGATATCCGGCCAATATTGTTCGCATTTTGTCTAGAAAAACCATTATCGTTAAACTATTTGTGCAAAACGATAATGATTTAATGAAAGCTTACTCCAAAAAGCGTACTTTTCCACTTTCAATCACATTTGCCAACATGCAAATAATAAGAACGTTTTCCTGCCAAATCATGCGCCAGAAGTCGATGACAGTGTTGGGTTTGGGTCCTTGTGTTG